GAGGGGGGACGTGGGCTGGGGAAGGCTTGCTGCTCCCGCCGGCTCAGCTCCAGCCCCAGCGCCATGTCATCGGGGACACCTGTAGGGACAGGGGCCGGGGACGGGTATCATGTCTGCTCCAGCTCCCCAGAGCTGGCACAAGGCCCCAGCAATTCCTGCCCACCCCACCAACCCTCCAGCTTCAAACCAGGGCCAACCAGGGCCCAGACCAAAACCAAACCTGGATGCAGCACTGCTCGGCCACCCCAAAGGAAGAGAGAGGTCCCCAAAGGAGGAGAGGGGTCCCGAAAGGGAAAGGGCGCTGGGAGGTGGCACTGCCAGACCCCAAGTGGGTCCGAGGTGCCACTGCTCACCATCGATGTGGATCGACTTCAGCTCCCCATCCTCCTCCACTTCCACCCGCTCCCGCCCGTTCTCGATAATCCTGCAGACAGACAGACAGATGGATGGGCAGTCAAGGGCCAGGCAGACAGAGCATCGCAGTGGCAAGCTGCAGGGTCTGAGGCCCGCTGATGAGGGGGTCCACGGGGGCGAGGTGGGCCAGCACTGCCCTCACCGCTTGGTGGTGATGCGCCTGCCGTTAACAAAGGAGGTGGAGACGGAGCGGAAGCCCAGCCCTGCATCGGCGCCGGAGCCGAAGGACGAGGCGAAGAATTCTGGAGAAGGGAGCGACAAGGTCAGTGGCAAGGTGAGGGGCATGGGGAAGGCAGGGGGTGGACCCGGCGCAAGAGGGGACAAGGTGTCCTGGGATTCCCCTGCCAGGTAGGGGCTGGCAGCATCCCTTACCTGAGGATCCTGGGAAGGCAGAAAAGAAGTGGCCTCCCCCGTGGTGCCGGGGGCCAGGTCCTCGCAGCTCAGAGAAGGGCAGCATCTCATCTAGAAGGCAGCCCCCCGCCCCGCACTGCCCCCATGGCTTGGCGAGACAGGAGCAGGGCACTGCCGCGGGGACTCCCCACTGCGGCCAGCGGTGCGCTCTGTCCCCGAGCCCAGCAGCTGCCCTGGGGCCAGAGAGAGGCCCCAGAGCTGGCCCCCAGACCCTCCCTGTCCTGCACACACCAAAGAAGTCAGCAAAGGGGTCTCGCCCGCCAAAGAAATCCCGGAAGACGTCGTGAGCGCTGCGGAAGGTGAAGGTGAATTCGGGGCCCCCGGCATCGGCCCTGGAGCCCCCTGGTCCTGCCAGAGGGAAGAGGCTCAGAGTTAAGTGAAGCCTTGGATGGGAAGCCCCCAAAGGGCAGAGAGCCCTGGGGGGCGCAGACCCACAGGGGGAATTCAGATGGGGCCATATCCACGGCTGTGCTAACCCCCGTGGACCTGCTCACCCACTCACCTGCCCCCATGAGTCCGTCCTTGCCATAACGGTCGTAGACATCACGCTTCTGCTCTGGAAGGAGAAGAAAGGGGGCTGCAGGGAAGCTGTCTGCCAGGCATGGGCAGGAGCACCGACGCTTCCCCCAGCCAAGGGAGGTGCGGAAGAGCAGGAAGCAAGAGGAGTGAGGTGGCATGAGCCCCTTCCACACCGGCACCACTCCCAAACCCTAGTCGAGGCATTGGGTGAGGATGCACCAGCCTCAGCCCTGCTGGGGAGACCTCATCCCCAAGGCCAGCACCCCAGCATCTCCCCCAAGAACCATTTTGGTGGATATGTGGGGAGGTAACCAAAGCCCCACAAGCTGGGCAGTAAAGCTGGAAGCACCCGCTGCCTCCCAGGGACATCCAGGGATGATACCAGGGTGAGCCCAGCAGCAGGACACCCCGGGGCAAGTAGTCCCAAGGACGGGGAGGGGACACACACGAGACAGAACCGTGGTCTCTTACTGTCTGACAGCACTTCGTACGCCTCGGCAATCTCCTTGAACCTCTGCTCGGCGTACTCCTTGTTGTCTGGGTTCTTATCCGGGTGCCATTTCAGCGCAGCCTTCCTGTACCTGCACAGACAGGCAGTGATGGGCACGCAGCAGCCCTTGGGCTGTAGGGGCTCCCAGGCCAGCAACCCCCCTCTGAGCACACACCACCAACCCTGTGGGCTGGGGCACCCTGAGCCCGCTTCACCCAGCAACCTACAGCCTCAGGCACCAAGCGTGAGCTTCCCGGACTGGTTCTGCCGCCTGAGCAAATACTTGCAGCATGACCCCAGTGGCACAGCCTGCGCCCACCCCAGCTGCCCTCGAACGATGCTCACGGGTTTGCTCCGGAGCCTTCCAGGGCTCTGCGGTGGGCATGCAAGGACCAGGGGTCGCTGTGAGACTCCTGGGGCCAGGTGAGCACAAGCAGCCCTTTCCTCCTGCCTGCAGCTAGCTGGGGTTAACTCAGGCTGCCCCACTTCTCTCACCCACTCTTAGGAAGCGCCCCCAGCAGGGACCTCTGTCCCCTGCCTCTGTCCCCGCCCAGGCAAGCCACCAGTCTGCACCTAATCCCTCCAGGTGAAGCCTCTACCCAGTGAGAGCAGCAAGACCTCGGCACGGTGCCAGGCAGGAGCTGCAGGAGGCTCTGTCCGCCCCTGGCGCTCCACTAAAGTGCCTGGAGCGCAGCAGCACAGGACCTGCAATGGGGCCTATGTCCCTGCCAGGGAGACGCTGCTCCTCTCCATACTAGCTCCAGTCCCCTGACCCTGACGCCAGCAGAGTCCCTGCACCCCAGCCCTCTGCCATCCCTGCACCCTCTGGCAGCGAGAAGGGACACCTCTGAACACCAGCGGGACCCACCTCCCGCCTCCACCCCCAGCCCTGGGCTGAGAGTGGGGACAAAGGGACCAAACCCCACCAAAAGATGCCTTTGTGTGGCAGTGAAGCCCGGCCCCGCTCTGGCCTCCGCACAAAGGAAACAAAGGCTGGATTGTCACCTCTGGAGCTGGGCCCTGTCCCCACTGTCCCCACGGGGAGCCCCTGCCTCGCTGGCGCTTCAGCTGGGGGGTGGCTCAGGCTGCTCTGCCCGGTGGGCTGGGGTACGCCTGCCACGCACTTACGCCTTCTTGATGTCATCGGCGGTGGCATTGCGGCTCACCCCCAGCGCTTCGTAGTAGTCCACCATGACGTGTGCCTGACCCGTGGGGTCACTCTGGGGGGGGAAAGGCAATGTCAGGGGGTCCGAAGGCACAGCCTGGCAGCGCCGGGTGCCAGAGAGCAAGGGTGGGATACTCTGCTCTCCCTAGGCACCCCAGCCACCCCCCCGGTCACCCCGAAACCCCCA